AACTTTTTGTGGAAATTGTTGCACTTGTTTTCTACCACCTTTTGTATCAGCTTGAGCACGATCTACTGCCCATATTCGATCGTTTTGAGAATTATAGACACCGTTGATGTCAAAAATCTTTTCATCCAAAAAAAGAATTTTCATGATTTGTTCTTTCTGAAAATTGTTTCGAACCCAATTTGCAAACTTTTTTCTTTCGGCTTTGTGGCTGTCGGTGAGTTTTGGTTCGATTATTTTCTTGTATGGATGACATTTCAGATCGTTCTTGAGTATTCGTCCAACAGTTCTTCGTGAAATATTTAATTCACGCGACAATTTCCGAACCGACACGTTTTTTTTCCGTCTTAATCGACTTTTCACTTTTTGAATTGCTGCCGAAGTATGAACGACACGTGAACGACCAGGTGGGTACGATAGCTGGATAGTGCCGGTATCCCGAATCATTTTGCACCACCGCTTGATTGTTGCCAAAGACAAACCACCGTTTAAATCACGAAATATTTTTGTCGGACCATCTCCTTTTTCGTATTTAGAAAATACTACTTTTTGTAAGTCTTGACTTTCATTATCTGAAAATATTTTTAGACGTGTATATCTAAAACGTAAAATAGGTTTTTGTAGAGAATTGAATAACGAATCCTTTAAAAAGAAAATTAAGTCTCTGCGATGAAAGCAGGCCGATTTATTGAGAAAATACGGAGAGGCTCATTATTTATGCGCCACCCGTTACGTGTAAGTTATCGATCAACCGTTAGATACATAACATTGTTTTTTATCTCATTTTATTGTATACTATTATCGACAACTGTTTTTTATTTATATTATTATAATTATATTTTTTATATCATCAACATGAATCACATATACTTCTCGGCAACAATCGCACTGGCATTTAGGCCAACAGTGCTTCAGCAATTCCGATACACTCAAATGGCGGAACGTTGTGCAGCAATTGCAAGATGGAAAGGTTAGCTCTAAAGTTCTTATAAATATCTACTAAACTTAAATTTTTCTAGAATTCCATAGTAGAGAACAACGAGAAATTAGAGAAAAACTGGACTGCCTTAAAAATAAAAGAAATCAAATCGAAGAACAACGTAGAGGAATACTACATGAACAACAACAACAAAAACTGGATCATGATGAAGAATATGCAACAATGGTGATAGATTTATTGAAGATACATCATGGAAGAAAATTAGACAATGAACAAGAAAAATTATATAAGTATACGCCCTTCAAAGAGCTGAATAACCTATACGAAGTTTGAGACATTTTAGAATTGGTTGACCTGTGTTAGAATTTCTGAATTTTGAGTCTTTTTGGAATGTATTTACTGTGAGACTTTTCGAGTACGCGTACTTTGAGACTGTTTAGAATTTATGAATTTCGGGACGTTTTAGAATTTACGCTCTTTGTGAGGTTTTGGGTTTAATTTACTTCGAGAGCTTCTAGAATTTATGAAGTTTGAGTTCTTTTGGAATTTATAGACTTTGAGAGTCTTTCGAATTTGTGAAGTTTGAGCGTTTTTCAAATTTATTCACTTTGAAAGTCTTTAGAATTTATTGAGTTTCAGGGGTTTTGGAATTTAGCAAAATTTATCTTTAAGATTTGACACCCTTTAGGATTTATTTTCTTAATTGTTGCACTCTGTGGAATTTGGATAAGATAGTAACAGTAGCTGTTTTTTGATTCAGCTTTATTTAATAAGAATTAAAATTAAAAAAATTTCTTTTAAAAATAAATCCTTTTTTGATAAAAATAAAGTCGACGTTTCGAATTTTCATTATCAAGACAATAGAGACGATTCACACGATGTGAATTTATCGTTTAACTAACTTTGTTAAAACTTAACTTAACTTTAACTTTAACTGTTAACTTTTCTGAATTTGTTTACTGCGACCCTTTTTTTGTGAACTTTTTGTGAATTTGTGAACTTCGATAAAATGATAATCGAAGCTTTGATCTGTACGTGAGCGAACAAATGCCTTTTGATTACACCAAAGATCTTCGATTGCATTCTGTTCGCAATGATACTTAGGACAGTCTATAATCTTAATTTTATATTTAATTCCTAGCATCTCAAGTTTTGTAGCATTTTGGAAAGCTCGATGCATTGAAAGTATATCACGAATGTCGTCTAATTTAATTTTAGCGGGTAATTGTACACCCAAATCTTTACATAGTTCAACTAAACCTTTTGATTTACCTTTGTTTTCTCCCTCTTTAAAATAACAATCAATAAGTTTTTGTACGCCATTTTCATCAACATATTCGATTTGTTCAATAGGACAACGAGTACCAATTTTTTTACCAAATTCTTGTAATGAGTATGACTTCGCAGCGTGCGTTCTTGCATTGTCGACAACGATTTCTATCTGGTTATGCTTGTAGTCTTGTTTGAATTCTAGCATTTGAAATAGCCTTTCAAACTGTCCCAGGACCGTATCATTATCAAAATAAGCGTCTGTTCCTATATTAATACTAGCTGTTGCTGTTCGATCGATATAATTGACATCATTATCGACACTTAATGTTATATATTTTGCAGTAGCTTCTTTCCATTCATTTTCACTAAGTTACATCGTTATACTATGATTTTTGGAGAAAGGTTTTCCAGAGACCCATTGAAGACCCTCTAGAGATCTCAAAAGTATACCCATTAGATTCATCATCAGTTTTTGCCTATGTAAAAAAATTTTCACTTTATTTGAATAAAAAATAAGCATTTTATTGNTTCAACAAAGGAAAGAAAAGAATGCGGAGTTTTGTAGCTGATGGTATGTTGAGTTGAATGAGATAAAACATTTAACTTCATCGCTTATGTAAAAAAACTTGATACGTTTACAAAAACGACTTATGCGCATTGCACTCAGTGTGATTTGGGGTGCCACTGTGAAAAGGTGTCGGGTCTTAAGCCGATTTAACAACTCGTCTAGGCTCAGTTTTTGATGCTGAATCTGAAAAAAATATTTTCAGAAACTCAGAGAAAGCACGAACCGAAATATAAGACGTATTTTGAAAAAAATGTGTTTTTTGAAAAATACGACATACTTCGATTTTTCGTATTTTCCGACCTGAAAAAGATATTTGTGTAAGGTAAAAAGTTGTTTTCGTGGTCAGCAACTCTCACTCTATCAAATGATGTAAAAAAACGGTAAAAAAAAATTTTTTACTTGACGTTTGAATTGCCTGCACCTTAAATAATAATATAAAAGGTTATCCGTTCTTTTTGCTTTTCTATTTATGTATATGATGTACATTCCACGTTGTTATTCAATCTCAATTATTAGGTGTTATTATTGTTTTATATTCTACAAGCTGCTTTTTTGTACCTTTTTTCTTGTTTCTAATTTCTTTAGTAGATGATGCATTTTTTCTTATCATGTACAGGGTGATCCAAAAAAAACTTACCCCCTGTGTATTTATTGACTTTCTTGTGTAAAACGAAAATAAACGATCCATTTATTTTTATTTTATAAAAATACTGTCTTTTTCATTTGTTTACCTTTATTTTTCAAATATAAATGACGAATGTATATTTATTTTCTAAAAAATTACACTAAATTAACACGCATAAGGTGGACAGCTTCATTCAGAGGATCACATCCCAGTCGGGTATTTTAGACTGATTGCTGATCAACTTTGAACTGGAGATAGGTG